GGGGGAGCCGGAGTGCTCTACCTTGATGCTGTCGAGTTAGGATGCTTAAAAGGAACTAGCTTGGTTGTGATGGCGAAGTTCTTTCTTTGTTGTGTCATTGTGTAGGCAGAATTGTGGAATCGCTTGGTTGTGCAGGTCGCTTCAGAGAGCCTTTTTGTGGGAGCTCGAACGAAGGCTTTCCAGGCACGACGGGACCGAGAAGGACCGACCTTTGACCAATCCGGGACCGATGCCAAGAGCCCCGTTCGGCTCCGTTCGTAGCGATGCCCGTTGTTCCTAGTAGCTTCTTGTTAAGAGTAGTAATGCCAGGAGCTACTAGTAGCTTCTTTGTTACTACTAGTAAGGCACTTGTTACTAGTAGCGATGCACTTGTTCCTAGTAGCTTCTTGCTCCTCATTTCGTTCGACTTGGTGAGGCAGATGAAGATGCCGAGGCCTCTCCGTGTGGCACCAAGACAGGAGAGCACCAAGCAGTGTGCTGTTTCAATCAACCTTGGTCCAGCCTTGTACGAAGATTTCTACAAAGACAGCCCGCCTGTCGACCGAAAGATCGGCAGTTACCCTGAGGCACTTTAGAGACCTTTAGGTGCAGGTAAAACAGCGACCTTGGACTCTGCGAGCTTGTCAGAGGCACAGCACAGAAAGGAATGAAGGAAGGAGCGCTAGGAACCGAGAGGAACTGCGAGGAATGAAACAGCATGGGGCTGCGCTCGATCACAACGCAGACGAAGCAGCAAGAGTGTTGTTTCGCACAGCTCTACTACCGCCTTCCGAATTTGTGCGTGAGCAACATTGAGCAACGCATCACAATAGCAACACCATGCAACACCCGACACAAGCGTGCAAGCAATTCCCCATGTTACGCAAATAGCACAAGAAGCGCATTGACAGTGCCAACGACTAAGTTTTGCTTGCAAAGGCCGTCTAATGTTACTACTAGTAAGGCACTTGTTTCTACTAGCTTCTTATTACTACTAGTAAGGCACTTGTTACTAGTAGCGTGGCACTTGTTACTACTAGCTTCTTGTTACTACTAGTAAGGCACTTGTTACTACTAGCGATGCACCTGTTACTAGGCTGTGGGAATGCATGTTGGTCGCACGGGCGTCACAAGCCTGGCCCAAACCACCTTTCTTCGTCGGTTGCGCTCCAGCCCATGTGGAGCGTAGTGCGATGTGCAGCGATGGGACTTTGTTACTAGTATATATAGCTTCTTTTAATAGTAAGAATGCTCCTAGTAGCGAGGCCAGGAGCCCCTAGTAGCTTCTTGATTTTCCGAGAATTTGCAGCAACAGCTGAATGCTCAGGTGGGCCATTGCAGCTGCAACAGCGCTTGCTGCGACAGCAGCTGCAGATTCAGAGTCAGCGAAGGCCCTGGCTCGGCGTGTGGATGACACCAGGAATGCGATGCAACTTCGTGCGTTCAGAGTAAATTGAGATACAGAGATACATCAATTATACATAACATCTTAAGATATTATCTATTTCCATGCTTGATGCAACAGAACTCAAACCCAAGCTATACCTTCCATTCGAGAGATCACATGAACAGAACACTTGGCTGTGCGCCACACTCACAGGGACATATTCACGAATGCTGCAGCGCTTTGCAGTGCTATGGTGATTTGAGCAGTCGCATTCACGATGTGAAAACAACACTAAAGTTAAGAGCTTTGCCGAAGGTTCTACCGAGTTTCTGAAGAAACTTCTTGCTTCGGCATCGGAGCGATTCTAAACGAATTACTATATCACCAAGAACACATAGGAACTTGACCAAAAGAGACACACTACTTCAGTTCTTAGCAAGATTTAGCAAGACTCCTCGAAGTTCTTTGTTATTTTTTCAAAAATAGTAACCATTCTTCTCACTTCATGGAGGGGCAATTCCGCCGGCCCAAATGGTGTTCCGCTCCTCGGAGCCCTGAGAGACACAAGAGTCAGCTGCGTGCATTGGGCAACGAGGCTGAGAGTTCTGATTTGTTGAATTCAAAAAATGAGAGCAGGAACCTGACAGCAAAAAGACACCTAATAGCGTCCTTGCTCCTAGTAGCGATGCCAGGAGCCCCTAGTAGCTTCTTGTTACTACTAGTGATGGCCTCCAACCTAATAGCAAAAGAAGCCTATTTAATAGCAATGGCCTCCAACCTACTAGTGATGGCCTCCAACCTGCTGGCTGGGAGTTCTGATATATAATGTCATGTGTTGTTGTATGTTGCCGCAAATATGCGACGCACACACACACACACGTATCATACACATGTCTTTTGAAATTTGCAGCTGTGGAATCTGGAAGAATTTCTCGCAGGATGAACGCAGCTGGGAGGTTCTAGACAAGTCGGTCTACACGGTTGGTCGCCACGAAACAGCTGATTTCCAGCTGCAGGGCGAGTGGCACGGCCCAAACTCATCAAAGTTATGTCGTGTCTTGTTGTGTAGTCAAGCTTGGGCCTTTTTTGTGCTTGCTTTTAGCTTGCTTAGCCTTATGGCTTCAATTCTACAAGGAAGCATTCAAGGCTTCAGTTGACAAATGATCTCGGTATGCTTCAGTCCGTTTCTTTTTGTTTGTATGTGTGCGTCGCCGACCGGCTTGACCAGGTTGGTTTCCAGAATACATGCCGCGGTGCTTCAGGACCAGATGCCCCGGATAGCCGTGATCCTGCTTTGTTGCAACGCATTTGGGGAACATCAACGTCTATATAACGTTCCCATCATCAATAGGGAGGCCAGCGCTACTACCGGGTCGTAGGGTGGAGGCCATTCCTATTAGGTTGGAAGTTGGTTGGTGGCCATTGCTGAAAATAAGATAAATCACGAAGACCACCCCAGTTTCCACCGGTTTCCGGGCGAAGATCTTCTTTCAGAGCTTCCGTCCGCTCTTCCTGGTCTCTTCCTTCCTCTTCCAGCTTCTGTCCAGGACGTGGAAGGTGAGCGATACTTGGTGGATTTGAAGAGTACTCATGGCACCTTCCTGGAGTCCAAGCGCCTCAAAGCTCACGAGCCGGTGAAGTGGCCAGAAGGACGGACGGTTTTCGGTCTGTCGACGGAACGGTTTTCGGATCGGTGATCGAAGTGATTCCCCAATCCAACGGGGAAAAAAGGGTTTAGGGTCCTTCAAGAAGCAGTTAGATATCATTCATTGCTCAGTTTCTTTGAGAAATCCTTCGATGTGACGATGCCATAAGATGTGATATCGGCTGTTTTTTTAAAACTATCCCCATCGCGAGTAAACTCAAGGAGTGCAAGGAATTTACGAAGAAGTATGATTTCAAGACAAGAAACAGATGTAATTAACAGATATTTGGGTTCCATCTTAGGTCCACCCAACCTACTAGCGATGGCCTTCTTTTCCGGCGCAGGGCAAATGGCTTCTTTCGGCTTTGGCCCAAAGGCTGTCTTCATGGTGCTGGGCTCAATGGGCGAAGTGGCTCCGCCGGCCAAGCGACCGAAGACTGAGCCGCAGGACGCAGCCGGGGCACATTGGGGGGGGACCAAAGCTGAGTGCGCTCTTTCAAGGAGCACGCTTGTCTTTCTAAATAGAAGCAAGAAAAGGAAGGAAGAAATCAGTGGTGCATGCAAGGGTGGTGGCTTCTGAGCTTAACCGCAAGAAGTCCATCGGAAAGAACGGCCACTCATTGTGTCCCAAATTCTTTAACTCTTTTATTCGTGCTTTCCTTTACGCAAGGCAATTTTGGTGCATTCCACGGGTAGATGGGAAGAGCAATTCTATAATATTCTATATAGTAGTAACAAGTGCCTCGCTAGTAGTAACAAGTGCCTCGCTAGTAGTAACAGGTGCCTTACTGTAGTAACAAAAAGCTATTAATTTAAAGTTAAATTTAGTTTAATTAGGTTCTGTCCCTGATTTGCTGAGCCTTTTGCAATACCTTGAAGGTGATCGATGACCCAATGGCCTCACTCTATGGAGATCTCCCAGAAGCCAGCATCGTCAACACAGCGCCAAAGGTCCAACATCAGGGCGTTCAGCACGAAGCAGAAACGAAACGACGACGCGCCAGTCGCGCGGAACTGTTCCCGCTGTTTCAGCGGCGAACGAACGTGCAACCTTCTGCTCCTTCCGCTTGTGGCAGGTAGCCGAAACGAAAGTGCAACCTTTGCCAACGCCCACGAAAGACCCCACCAGAGTGATCTTTTTGGACATTGATCCTTGCCTTCAACTTGGAGATTCGTTTGGACGCTTTCTTGCTACGAGTCATGTTTGACAGTCATTCTTTCTTCAAAGTTCAGCTTCGAGCTCATTCGGATGGAGATGAACCGTTCAATTCCAAACTTGTCCAACCCTCCAACTGATACAGAGGACCTAAGAGGACAGTCTGAGGACAGTAGGTCTTGGACCTTGTTTCAAGCTAGAATGTGTTTACATATACTGTACGCTAGAAAGAATGCTTTGATGAATCCTTTCTTTCGTGCCGTTTTCCTTTTTTAGTTTATTGTGTTTTTCTTGTTCTTTAGATAATAGATGTCATTTTATTGCCATACCAAACGCTCCGACATTTTCGAGGATGGAGTTCTCAGACCTTTGCACAGCAGGCACGGTGAGTCGGTGCACGTGACCCACACCGGGTGAGGACCGACACCGGATGGTGCGACATGTTCTTCCAAAGATCTGCAATGGCCTCGCTCAGACGTCCGTAGATCTGCCTTTTTTGTGTGTGAACTTTTGTGGAGATGAGGCACTTCTAAGCTTTGTTTCTAGATGTTGCAGCATGTTGCAGCTGGGGAGATGAACCTTCAAGAAAAGGCCTTCTAGTAGAACCTTCAGATCTGGCCCTTTGCGGAATCAAGTGCAGTTATATTGTCCGTAGTGTTCAACGACTGACATCCCATGCCCATGCCCATTTCCAAACAACAGCGGTCTCAAGACTCACAAATTGCACAGGGCTCAGATGCCATTGGAGTTTCATGGCCCAATTTGCCCCCCCCACCCAGGGAGGGGCCCACCGCTACCGGGGGTTTTGGATGGTTTGGGCCTAAGCGACTACCACTACGCTCAGTGTTGAAAAATGACAACTTCCAAAAATATGGGGTGGTCAATTGACCCTGGTGACCCCTTGACAGAACCTTTTTCTTTAGGTACAGACGTAAAGAAATCCATATCATATCGTGTTGTTTCTTTGAGAGGCACGTGTCCTTTGTTTTTGTGATTCCCCGATCTGCCTCGATTTCTCAGTACATACCTACCGATTTAGCCTGTGGTAGATAGATGTGATATTGCAGCCAAGGCAGGCAGAAAGGGCACATAAAAGGAAGGATTGCAGATTTTCAATGGATATTACATTCTGGTCCTGGTCATTTGCCGTGGTGTTCCACTGTGTTGCACGGTGAGTGAAGTCACGTTGCGGATGATTCATTTGATTATATATTCCTCAGGCAAGTGGCCTAAGTCTTGCCTCTAGTAGCCATGGCCTCCACCCCAGTACGTAGCTTCTTGTTAGTGGGAATGCCAGGAGTCCCTAGTAGCGTTCTTGCTCCTAGTAGCGATGCCAGGAGCCCCTAGTAGCGTTCTTGCTCCTAGTAGCGATGCCAGGAGCCCCTAGTAGCGTTCTTGCTCCTAGTAGTAAGGCCAGGAGCCCCCTAGTAGCTTCTTGTTCTCAGGCAAGACGCTTTTCAGAACACGCGGACCATCGAGATCAACGGAGCCCGGGTGCCATTGCTGGGAAGCTCCGAAGCCAAAGCAGGCGTGGACTTCTGGCCCAGCGCCATGCGAGCTCTCAGGCGGGGGAAAGTATAAAAGAAAGAACATACTAGCGATGGCCCAATACCGATGTCTATGGCTGTTCTTTCTTTTTCAACACTAGTTTTTTTGCTACGTTCTACAATGAGTTGAAGTCAACACTTTTGATGAATTTGTAGTGATTTGATTCCCGATGTTGCAGCTTGCATTTGGTCGAACACAATACTGAAAGGGCCACAGACGATAGTCTGGATGCTTTGTCGGGTTCCTTCAGGGTCTCATGTCACTTTTTTTTTGTGTGAAGATTCATTAAATTCAATGTTGCGCAAAGTTTTGAACCTGGTTAAAGAGTAGCTCAATGTGTGATTTCGTTAAACCAGCCTATTTCAATCAATCTTTTTCACTCGGACTGGCTGACTGCAGCTTCAGCACCGCCCAAGGTTCATTGTCCAAAAGACCGAGGCTCGAATTGTGTTATCCTCCGATTGGCGGAAGCAGGAGGTTTTGAAGGAAGGCATCCAAAGTGCCTTTGAGGAGCACGGAATCCCAGATTTGTATAGCTCAACCCCAGATTTGGACCAGGCAACTCCGGGCGTGATCAAGACGCTTCACAGCTCTTTTCGAGAAAAGCGCTGTAAGGAGATCAGGAAATGGCTCAAGGCAAATCCAAAGATCACCCACTTTTGTGCCATTGACGATGTGGATTTGAGCATGCCCGACAAGGCTTCGTTGAAATCACAGGATTCGGATGTTTTCTTGGATCCTGACAAGGAGTTTGTCAAGACGAGCCAAGGCTAGTGACACAAAGCAGTGTTTTTCTTGTTTTTCCCTCTTCTCTCACCCCGAAGGAAAGGCTCTAACACATACTATGAACCTTTTACCATTTTATGTACCAACACTGCATGTTGTGTGCGTCTTGTAACTATCATGCAAATGTGCCACATAGATGTGTCAGACACGTGTGAGAGACATATCGTAGATCTACATGAATTATACCGACCTCAGCGACCTCACCTGAAAATAACGCCCCACTTTTTGAATTTAAGGTTCTTGACTCATACACACAGAACACACACACACATACGGCTACAAGTCCAAAAACAGCAAAAGTCCTATGTGCTGCAGATAGGCGCGCTCCTGCGCCTGATGGAATGGAAGGGGTTGTCTTTCATCAAAACACAGTAGAGGCCTTATCTGCTGCAGATAGGCACGTTTCTCCGCCTGCTGGAGTGGAAGGGGTTGTCTTTCATCAAAACACACTCGAGGCCCTATCTGCTGCAGATAGGCGCGTTTCTCCGCCTGCTGTCTTTCATCAAGACACAGCAGGGGCCCTATCTGCAGCAGATAGGCCTGGAAGAATCGAACCCAGGACCTGCGTCAGCCTTTCCATTAGGCTATAGGACCTCTTGTGGTAGAGCAGCCGCTTTGCTTCTCTTTGCGCAAGCGACACCAGAAGCCCCATCTGCAGCAGATAGGCGCGTTCCGCTTTCTGCTGCATTGGAAGGGGGGTCCCAATCAACACGCAGCAAAAGCCTTATCTGCAGCAGATAGGCGCATTTTCCCCGTCTGCTGGTGTGCGGGTTTGTTGTTCATCAAAACACAGTAGAAGCCCTATCTGCAGCAGATAGGCACGTTCCTGCATCTGCTGGGGTGGAAGGGGTCATCTGCACCAAGTGAACAGCGGAAGCCCTAGCCTAACGGAGTTCAATTGCCCAGCGACCCGATGAAAACCATCCACGAAACTCCGGCCTTGTCAAAGAGAAAGGCGTTGCTGACAATGCAGTGTTGTTGCGTGCGCGTGTATCCACGTGGTCCAATGTTGGTTCCGACCCGACATCACTTAATTTCGTATTTCCGACGACGTCATTTAATTCCACTTCCAAATTAACGAAAATAAGCGACGACCCGCGAAATACTATAATTCACCCTGATAGATGTCATAGATCGACTTAAACACAGTACACACCTTTTAGCCATCTTTAGCCAACCTAAGAGCGATGGCCTCCAACCTAGTAGAGGCGGACATGGAGAGACACAATGTTCTCAGGAACCCCGTGGTGGGACTCACCATGGAGATTTCCAAGTTGGTGATCTGCTACCTCAACGGCACAGAGCCCTCGGAGGAGATCCTCAGCGCGGTCTTCGGTGAACCCACGGGGATCATTACAAAAGCTTAGGCAGGCTTTAAGCAGAGAAAATCAAGGCGGTCAAGATAGCCTTGTAAGAGCAGACATGACATGTATTATACACGGCAAGATGCATGTTTCCAGATGTTTTCCTGGTTGAAAATGTAATGATATTCTTGAGCTCAGACATTATAGCCAGTGTGGATTAAGCCATGCAAAAGTCGTAGCGGTTGGATGCCTGAAAGAGATCGATCATCTCCTGGCTCAAAGATCCAGTCAGGAGAGAGGCCGAAGCCTCTCATCGCACGTATTGAGGATAAAAGGTATCGTTGTGTGAAGCTGTCCAGGGTTGGAGTTCTTACAACGAAGAGGACACTGCACATCAACAATGTACTGTACAAGCTTTCTCGACAACGACAGGGGGTTGTCCGTTTGTTTGTCAGGACAATCCATAATTCCATGTCCTGACTAAACTTAGTGCCAATCTGTTTGAGCTGCCTCAGCCATTTGGCTACCAGTCTTAGCTGCCACCAAGAGCCCATCTCAGGAATACATTTGATGAACCACATGCAAAGTCTTATCGATCAAATATTGCTCAGAAGCAGAGCCGTTTCACGCAGACCTGCCGTCAACCACTGGAATAAGCTGAACCTAGAACTCCTGCTCTTAACACCCCGTGCTACTAGGCCCTTCATCGCTTACAATTCATAGCACGAACTTCTCGAACATTGCATGAGATGAAGAAGCAGGACTTTTATTTTGACTCATGCTTGTCATTTCATTGCTATGGCGGTTGCCCTTTGCCCAGCGTGGCATACTGTTCTTCGGCCAAGGCAACAAGAGAGGAGAGTGCACCGAAGACCACAATATGCACAGACAGACACCTGCTGCTAGGGCCGTCCAGGGCCATGCTTTTCCTGCGCCCACAACTAGTGTTCTTGAAAGTTCTTAAGCGACAAACAAAAGCAAGCAAAAATGGGACATGCTGCCATGCTGCAGGCCTTTGCCAGCGCGGACGCTTCGACGAGCACATGTGCAGAACATCGCCTGAAATGAGATTCAAATCCAGAATTGTGCTGGTCTAGGGTTTCTGCAGCACAATTTGGGGATCAAATCTTTTTCGATCTTGATCTTGACTATACCTGACCAACACAAAGCTGACTGCGGTTTTGTGATTTGTTTAAGAACGTCAGAGCCAAGTCTTGCATTTTGAGAACGCTTGCTACTCTCGTTCCAATTCGCTTAGGCCGATAGTTCGGTTGCCCAACAGCTCTAGCCCCTTTGAAAACTTCGAGACCTTTGGATGGCGTTGGAGTTGCTCGGTCTGGACAAAGAAAAGCGTTTTGGATTCAACCTACTACTGCTACATAGTCGATTTCCTCAAACATGTTCCAACCATTCGATTTGTAGCGATTATATAGATATGATGAAACGAGTTGACTTTCAAGGTCCAGACCTCAGCCTGGACGAGAATCTCTTGCGCTTGGTGCCTTGGAAATAATTCGAATGGAACTGTTTGGTGCAAGGACTGCAAATGTATTGTGTCTCTATGTTTCTCGCTCTCTCTCTCTCTGCGTTGCTTTTCTTTGTTTTTAATTCCTTTTCCTTGTTCTTTCTTCATTTCATTGTAAGGAATGCAGGCATTCAACGGCAGTTTTTTCCTACTTGCTGTAAAGGACACAAGTGCATTCAATTTCACCAGGCAGTCCAAGAGATTTGCGAACGACGGTCCCACGGTCCCACCTTGGGATTGTCCAGGCACTCTTGGCCCGTTTGAATTGCTTCAAAGTGGCGAACTACACCGCTGGGCGCTGCAGTGCAATGATGTGTCGTCCTCCGCGGATTAATGGCTCTCATGTTGAGATTGAGGCGGCCGCATGGCACATGGCACCATGATACACCATGGCACATGGGATATGGTAGGCTCGGGCATAGGTATCAAAAAAAAAATAAAAAGAGCATCAAAAAAAATAAAAACAGGATCAAAAAGGAATAAAAAGCGAATCAAAAAAACAATATTCCTTGATAGGCCTCTTCCGCTGCTCTCCTGGCCTTGTGGTCTGCGGGTCCTCTGGTAATGTGGTCCCTTGGTCCTTTGGTCCCTTGGTCCTCTGGTCCACTGGTCCTTTGGTCTCCTGGTGCCTTGGTCCTTTAGTCCACTGGTCCCCTAGTCCTCCGGTCTCCTGGTCCTCTGGTCCTGTGGTCCGCTGGTCCCCTGGTATCCTAGTCCTTCTGTCTCCTGGTCCGCTGGTCTTTTGCTCTCCTACGGCGCTCGTCTGTCGATCTCCTGGTCCCCTGCTTGCGCAAATAGAGGCTTGATTGCTTTCTACTAGAGGCAGCTCCCTGGGAAGAAAGTAGGTACTACTGCTACTGCTACCACTACTACTACTACTACTCCTCCTCCTCCTGCTGCTGCTGCTGCTGCTGCGCTGCTGCTGCTGCTGCTGCTGCTACTGCTACGCTGGTGCTGCTGCTGCTACTGCTACTACTACTAGTACCCCAACCATCCTCAGTGGGCTAGAATATTTTTTTTGATGACCTTTTTATTTTTTTATTGATCCCCGTTGAATATGTTTTTTTGATTCTATTTTTATTTTTATTTTGATCCCTTACCCGTAGGCTCGAATCCATCACCTGAGCTCTTTCGCATCACTACCTTGAATGCAGGTGATTGGATTTGGCATCAATACGCCCCTTGGCGACAGAGTAGGATGAAGTAGAACACTATATACATGGTTAGTATAGGTTGGGACAACACAAGGCTAAGAAGGCACATGAAAATGGCCTAGCTTAATGTGTGCCTTGTGTTGTTGTGTTGTAATGCTCCTTGTATCGATCCAAGGCCACCGCGCTTCGGAACCATTCCAAGGGACCCCAATGCGGGTATGAGACCCTGGAATCGGAAGGAACCGCCGCAGAATGAGATCCATTCGGAGATGCAAATCATCGGCCGTAGCTTGACGTGATCCGTTCAGAAGATGTCTTGACGCGACGAGGACTGACCCTTGTGAGTCCCTTGAAGTTCCATGTTGCAGCCTTGAATTCATGGCTTACAAGGCCTCCAACAGTGCCTTTGTTTTCTGCTGTTGGGTGCACTTCAAGTGAATTACTGTCTCGAGTTCTGCTACAAGTGGATTGCAAGGATTCCACCACAGGATTTCCGCTTTCTTCGTTCGCCCAGGTTGCGCAAGAGAGGGGATCCCAATGAAAGGCTCCTGGCTGTATGTGGCGTTGTTCACTTAGCTTTGCCCACAGTGACCTGGGGCCGTTGAAGAAGCAGAGCCCAGCGTGCTTCAAGAACCATTCAACGCGGGCAACAATTCCATGTCGTTCACCGAGGTTACCACCCTGCTGGGAGTGTTGCAAAGCCCTGGTGGCTGCTGGAGTCGCCCGAGTCCTCTTCAAAGGCAGAGAAAGCACAACTTGAAATCATGTATTGTCTTGTCTACAAACCCGAACTCTACCATTGCTTGGGTTTTCATTTTGAACGCACTCCACAATTCAGTGGATATGCTACATACGTACATCTACTTGCTCTTGAGGCTTAGCCAACTGCTGCCATTGGTTTGAATCACGGATATGTTATGTTTTTTCTACAGACATCCTGCACAGGCCCAAGCTGGCAAAGACCCAGCTTGTAAAGCACCACATTGTAGTCACTATACTATGGCTTCATGGCATAAACTGTCATGCCTTCTATTACTGTTGTCATTGTGCCCAGGAAGAGGTAGCAAGTGAAAAAAAGCCCCTAGACTGTCCTAGACTTGATCATTTCTATATCAGAGATCAGTGATTTGAGCTAGATGTTCTGATAGCATCTGCTAGCCTGGACTGAAATCTCGACATCCTTCGATTGGCCGATTGGCTTCCTGCTGCTACATCCCATCATGGCAGCTGTCTTCTTCCGTCGATTGGAATATGAGGCGAAGCTGGAACGAGCAGGAATCATGCCGTGTTTGCACGTTGCTATTGTGGAAGGCGTGGCTAGCGGCACCGGCAGCAGTTTCAGCAGGAGCAGCAATGCGGTGGAGGGGGCGTCTAGCGGCACTGGCTACAGTTTCAGAGGGAGCAGCAATGTGGGCGTAAGGTATGAACATCATGCAATCTTTGACCGTAAGAATGATGCATACATACACGTCAGCGGTGAAAATGGAGATATATGTGTGGTTCGGACAGAGAGACGAGCCTTTGAGAGCCGTTCTTCCTCACGACCTCGGGTGGTCAAGCAACCTGCTACTGTTCAAGAGGCACGCGACATACTTGAGCGTGCTCGAGCCTGGGCTGATGACGCATATGCATGGGATTATGGGCTATTCAAGAACAATTGCGAGCACTTTGTGAACGAATGCTGGAACCCTAATGAAACTCCACACAGTGGTCAGGCTCGAAATGCAGTAGTATCAATTGGCGGTGCCGCTGGTGCAGGGATTGGCGGTGGCATCGCGGCCGCGGCGGTTCCAATTGCCACCACCGTCCCATATCATTTCTTGGGGTTTATTCCATGGGGAACCACAACAGTCATGACGACTTTACCGGCGCTTGCTGTGCTTGGCATAGGTGCTGGGGTCTCACTGCTCGGCGGCGGCGTTGCTTATGGTATCAGGGAAGTAGTTCTGAACGAGACGGCACAGACTGCGAACTTGGTTCCAATAGCCGTTTACAACAGATCAGGAGAGCCTATCACTGCTTCTTTGTGGTACGAAGATTGTCCCATGCCTTGGTCACGGAATGCAGTGTATCACTGGCGTGCTTGCCTTGGTATCGGCCACATGTCATTGAACATCGATAGCAACATGGCGGAGGAACTCAACCCGCCAACTGTGACTGACACCGGTGACACATCTTTTATGCTCAAAGTATGCAGCGAGTCGTCGAACCCTGCTGGCAGGAGGCGGCCAGAAGTTGAATGCAGGGTCTCACGTGGTGATGTTGTTACTTTTAATGGCGAGAGATTGAGCAAAGGGGTGTTGACAATGGAGGACGTAAAGAGATATTTGGCTTGCTCCATATGCGGAAACAACCGCTCCAACATCATTTTGCCTTGCGGGCACTATTTCTGTGAGGGCTGCATTTTGCGCTTCATGGAGGCAAACGACTCGATTTGCCCGCATTGCCACAGTTACTTTGAGGAATGGGAAGGAATGTATAGTGAACTTGGAAAGTTGACAACAGAAATATTAACTTGTTGCATATGCTTTGACCGATGCTCCAATGTTGTTTTGGAGCCTTGTGGGCACGATAACTTCTGTGAAGACTGCATTTTGCAGTGGAGGCAAGCAGGCAACCCTACTTGCCCGTATTGCTGCATACATGACACAGGGACCAGAATCACGGGAATCTGTAGACGATAGACTTGGAAAAGGCCCGGAGTTGCCGTAGGTCTTGAACGTTTTGCCACTCCACACCTTGCCGCAAGAAACAAGAGGGCTGCTGTTTCGCTTTCTGCTACGAGTGAAGTCATTTCCTTCGGCGCAATCATTGGAATGCCCAGATCAACCTGGGGATGTTCGGTGCACATTCTTTGCACAGGCAAAGGCCGACGTGCACCAGCTGCGATCATGGAGAATGCCAAAGAGAAGGTCTTTGCCGAGGCAGTGGCAGCACTGCTGGGTGCGGTTGACGAAGCAGGTTTGTGGGTTCTAATCATTCTCACTAAACCGTCATGCAGATACGGATGTACACAGCAACTATATATTATATATATAGATCCTTTGTTGGACTTGGTATCTGATAACACAAGCGGACTTGGAAGCTGCACAGTCTCACGACCGCCTGGAGCCGGGATGACTATAGGTGAGAAGCCATCAAGGTAATAGAACATGAAAAAGGGATGTATTTGCAAAGGGAAAACACACATTCATGTTTGTATGTTGCAAAGGGAAAGCGTTTTTGCATGTCGTGCTTTCAATTAGAAACACATTCACCCAGGCATTTGGCATGGAATGGCTACATGCAGAGTTTAGCCTGGAGCGGGAGCAATACTTGGATGAAATGTGGGAAGCCTACAAGAAGGAGCTTCGCATAACTTCGCCCAAGGAAAAAGGCAAGTGTAGAGCCATTATGATCCATTTGCCTCATGTGGTGGCAAGCTTTCCTAGCTAAGCCGCAATCACCCAGAACCTGAGCTCACAGTAATTCACGGTAGAATGAGCTTGTCACAGCCATGGCGCATTTTTACACGTTGACAGCAAACTGCCAAGTTTCATTTTCTCCAAACGCTAGGATCCTGGGGAGTCTTCTTAAAATTGTTGAGTACAGTTGCGCTACACGGTGGCAACTCAGCGTGACCTGCAACAGGAGTTTGGATTGGACCGTGCTGCTGTCAAAGCTCAAGAATCACAGCGGCCGATGCGACCTGATGAGTTGGATGTGGACTCTAGCCACCATAGGTTGTACTATGATATGGAGGGACTGTGACATGTTGGCTTTTGTTTCATAGTTTGCTGGAAGATGCAGATTGATTCCTGAGGTGAAAGACCCATGGGTTTTGCTAACATCTTCAGAAATTGCGGCTCCTCTTGAAAAAGCTTGCGAACAAAAGTCACTGCGTGCTTTGCTGCATGACTCGCGCGGCGCGATGTTGTTCGACCATTGCCGATGACATGTTTCAACCTTTGCTTGCTGATTTGGAAGGGAGGCTTGTGGGACAAGATCAAGCTTCCCGTCTATGCTGGCCTATGGTACTTCTTCAATGCCAATGGCCTATGATGACTTTGTGTGACTCAGCAAGTGGCTGTTTCCTTGTCAACGCACCGTCCAAGGTTCAGTACAACATACAGAACAAGAAGCCAGGACCCTATCATAATTGAAAGAATTCCCGAAAGCAGAACAGGACAGTGAGGACGCCTTATTTTGTTGCACACTGTGCTTTCCCTCAAGCTCCGAGAATCCTTGACCTTTCACAGGCTTGATTCGTTCCAAGGTTACTGACTGTGTTCCATGCGAATTGGGCCGTTTCCTGGTTTCAGTACCTCAGTTGCACTTGTCAGACAAAGTTGTTGCGAGAACGGGCTTGCCTTAGGGAACTAACAAGAGCGCCTTTGTTGATAAAGAAGCTTTTGTTTTCTGTAAAATAGCAAGAAAAAGTCCAAGCAAATGCTTACTGTAGATTCTTTCAAGCCCAAGCGCTGGAACAACTGTTTCTTGCTTTGACCTTGTCTGACCCCCGCCAAAATCACCAAGGCTAGCATCAGGCATCCCAATCGCTCTGTTCATGTGGAGCTCCGGCCTGATAAAGGCGAGTTTCTGAGAAATAGAATTGCAAAGTTGACTTGTTGGACTTCGCAGACATCACTACTAGTAGTAACAAGAAGCTACTAGGAACAAGTGCATCGCTACTAGTAACAAGTGCCTTACTAGTAGTAACAAGAAGCTTCACTGAAACGTTGTTTGCTTTGTGAGCTAGAGCGGATCCCTGTCCTTTCCATCACGACACCGGTTCGACACCACGTCCACTTGAGGCCCCCAAGATGACCAAGGACGACTGCCTGAAGTTGGCCCCGGTGGGTGCTGCCTTTGCAGCGGGCCAGGCCATGTCATGGCCATGAGCCCGGAACAAAGCAGTGACATGCGGTGACTGGCATCGTTTGTAAGGCAAGCAACACAACAGTGGGGTAGCAGTCAGAAGCATCTGCATGTTAGCTCCTCTTTGAAAGCAAGGAACAACAGATGTGAGCAGAGCGTTCAAAGCCAGCTTGCAGACTCTTTCAAGATTTCAAGTATTGATCATACTACGTATTGATCCTTGATCTTACTTCGAACACATTGAAATGAGGAAGATGGAGGAAGAAAACGGTGAAGAACTTAAACAAACAATCCTAAGAACGGTGTCCCTTCTGGACAGGTGGCCACAGTGGCATCCCTAGGTGCAGTAGCCGTGTCGTTCACGCACGTCGTGAAGGCGGGAAGACGGGGGGATCACCAGAGAGGACCTATTTCGTCCTACTAGCAAGCCTCCTACGAATGAATACGAATGACCTTTCTTATCCTTTCTTCCTATAGCTGGCTTTGTTTCTAGCGATGGCCTCCACCTTGTAGGGAGGAACAGATTAGTCAGTGTCGCGAAAGGAAGGGCCTCTCAGTGTCGCACGTTGAGCAAGAGAACTCAACGGGAGTTCTCCGATGGTTGGACCCGTGTGGCAGTTTGGCTTTCTGGTGGATTTGTGAGACCGCGAAGCAAAAGAGTAACAAAAGAACTCTCATCAGAGAAGTCCCAGGAAGAATCTTGTTTAAACGAGGAACAAGAAGCTACTAGGGGCTCCTGGTCTTACTACTAGGAGCAAGGACGCTACTAGGGGCTCCTGGCCGTACTACTAGGAGCAAGTAGCTACTAGGAACAAGAAGTTAACAGGGTTATGTTTCTTTTTCTCTGAAGCGATCACATGTGATCAGACTTGCTTGTGAAAAACCGCCATGTCCCTTGAGGCCTTGGAGCCTGCTGTGAACGCCATTGCCTCCGCGCTGATTCTTGGACAGGCGAGTTGCAAACAGAAACGGTCGGATCAAAGATGGCAACTGAGAAGATGTGAATTTAGATGGTGCTAGCACAGTTCAAAGCCTGCCGAGCCTGAACTTGTGAGTGGCAAGTTGCAGGTCTTCCATCCTATGGTCTACGCTTCTCTACTCCCGGTCTTTGCTGGAGTTGCATTGGCATCCTCCAAGGAGCTTTCATTCACAATGTAAGAGCCTCATGGAAGCCCATAGAAGAACATCCAAGTATTTCAACAAGCAGAGGAATCAAACTACGTACAGTAGTCCTTGTTGCAGCTTCATCCAGCAATCTTCAAGTTGTGCAGTGACAGCTACTCTGAATGCGTGATGAAGAGACATCAAGAGGAATGTAGGAGTGTTGTAGAGGGCCTTTCTGGGTGAAGAAGCTTATGTTCGTTCTTAGGTGGAGGCCATCGCTATTAGGTGGAGGCCATCGCTTCTAGGTTGGAGACCATCGCCACTGCCTAGCAAACTATATTAGACCTTTCTTCCTTGTAGGTTTTGGATCCTCAAGCTCTCTAGGTTTGGCTTCCTCACGGCCATGGCCTCAAATTTCTTCTTCGTGACACGCAACGTGCTCGCCACGAAGTTCGGTGATGTGGGCGACATGGGGGAGGCGGAAAGACACGTAGACGCCGGGCACGTGTTGATTGTCAAGAAGCTGTTTGAGATGCTTGCCACTTCTTTGGGGGCTTTAAGTTGCAGTCTTGGAATGCTTCTCGGGTCATGTTCATTTTGACACCCCCCCACCTGCTGCAAGTTGGAAGACAAGCACCCTCATCCAGCTGTTTTTGATCTCACCAGCTGTCTCAATGCTCTTAATCACTACCATAGAAGAGCAAACAATCATATGGTTTGACATGATTAGATGGCTACCCGATTGTGCGACTATGCCAATTTGGTGTTGTCCCATCTGGCAGGACAAGACCCAGAGAAAGACCAATCAGCTGGCTGTACTTACAGCCGTTGCTGCACTGGTGTTTGCCTTGGTTTGGTGTGTTTGATCGCTACATCAATGGCTTTCAAAAGGCCTTAGGTCTTTCTTCCCTGCATCATCAGGTGCTGCTGCCGGTGGCCGTGCTGCTACCAGGTGGATTCACCTCCGTGCCAACTGCTTGGAAGGCGGTCCGGAAAAGAGCCCTGCAGTCCCAGCTCTAGCTGAGCTTTCAAGGTTTCTTTAGAGTGGACTTCGGATGAGAACAAGTCCCTTTTCAATCTTTATTCGGCTTTTGCAACATCTCGGCATCTTTTTTTGAATGTGCAACTCCATTCAATGCACTCTCATTCTTCGTCAGGCAGCGCTTGCAGCAGGTGTGTCAGTGAATTCTCTTTGGTGACCTGTCACGCTAACGTTCCATGTTCTGAATGTACCCACTAGCTACAGAGGGTTTGGCAGATAATGTGGCAGATTGCAAGTTGGATCTGGCACGCTGTGTGCCCGAGATTCAAGGTACATGTTGTTAGCATCTGGCTTCCACTTCTTCATGTGCCCCTTGGAATCCTTTGGATGCTCCTTGAAGTTGTGGAGAAAGGAAGGAAGAAAAAAGTAACGAGTGAGAAAGAGAAAAGATCTGAGGGTCCAAAGAAAGAGAGAAGAAACAAACAAAACACACAATAGACAAAATTTAGAGCAAGAACAGGACATCTTTCGCCGAATTCAAGCAACTGTTGCTACCCAATTGACTGCTAAGCTTGCTCGGAAGACTCTTTTTGTGAGCATGAACCATGTTTGCATTTCCAGCCTTTTGGTTCGTTTGCGTCTCGGCTCAGCTCCAATTCAAACCCAACCGTGCAAAGGATTGATGCCTACTCGAGTCTAGCCACACGATGCTCAACGATCCTTAGTCCTTCCAACCAGTCCAAAAGCTTTATGTATGAAATTGTATGAATATAATTGAAAACAACATAAAACATGGTCAGTCACAGAGATCCACCCTGGATACACACCACACTGTACATGTTTGTCACATCTTAACTTTTGCAAAGAGAGTTCGATGTGTTTTATTTTTTGTGTGAAACGGTCGCTGTTCTCGGTCTTTTAGATGGAGATGGTGTGACAGCGTTGTTCAGAGAAATGCAACCTGCCAAAGGTGGGAGCCATTTGACGAACGTTGAGGTAAGGACCAGCTGGTGTCAGATTCAGCAGGGTGTGAGACTTGAGGTCTTCCTGTCCCATCCGGCCAAATATTTATCGACTCAGAGAATTTGTTCGAAGCCAGTGATTTCCCATGGCATCAGCTGTCGGTTGATCATTGTACCAAATGTGCCTGAACTGGTGGCCGTGTTATATGCATCGTCAGCGGTGTCCGCGGTGTCTCCAAACTGGGCTTACAACTTGACGGTGTCGGTGTCTGTTTGCCAAGCCAAGGATCCAGATTGGAAGATCACGCGCTCTCGGGTGGAGAGTTTATCCAAGGAGAAGCCATGCAGCGGCGTCTTCCGAGGACTCTTGAAATCCTCAGAGATGACCAGGGAGCTTGGGTGGATCAACGACAAAGGCGAGCTTCATGTTCAAGCGGAAATCCGCGGTCTTCCAGATTTTGCCACCTTTGATTTTTCAGAAGAGTTAAAGGTGGTCACCTTCCGTCTAGCTGAAGGTGCTCTATACTTTGACCGGCGGATCCTTACAGGTCGCTCGGAATATTTTCGTGAGATGCTGGCCACTGTTTGGCAAGAATCACAGACCGGTGAAATTGACCTCAGCAATGATCCACAATGTACCAGAGCATCCGTCTCAGCGTTATTGGATTTCATGATTACCAATCATTTCCATGCTCGAGATGTTGATCTGGCGTTTTTGGTTCGCATCCTGGCGGACCGATATCAATTGCCACAGCTGGTGCAGCAGGTGGATGTACAGCTGGAAGGCATGCTCAGTCGGGAGAACGTCTTGAGTTTTCTGGGGCGTTTGCTGGGGACCAACAGCAAGCTGGAGGCCAAATGTATTCAGATGTTGGAGACAGATGGTCAAAATATCTTGGAACAACAGGAGGCAAAATTGGATCAAATCACTGAGGAAAATCCTGCCTTGGCCAAGAAACTGATTCAATTGCTTCTGCGAAAGGGAAAGAAGCGACCGCTTGAATCAAAGTCCTAATGATAAGAAGTGCCAGGGACAAAGATGCCCGTGGCCATTAGCCTGGCTTCGGCCGATTGTTGTGTTGTTGCCCCGATGTTCTTGTTTGCTTGATTGCCAGTGAAGTATGATCCCAGGATTTGATGTTCTGAATCCATAAATCCATACTGCCTTCGGATGGACAGGTGTTTGAATCGATCCAGTTGGCGACAAGCCCAGCAGGGCTGCCAACTGGAGAAGGTGGAGCCAGGGCTTGGTGGAGCCAGTTGGCGTCGAGAATCCTGGTCGAACAAGTAGACATAGGTGAGGAGCATCATGGATAATCCTGTCGTTGTCATATCGGTTGCAAAACCCCTGTGACATCCTATGACTTTGGAGAGTCAAGACCAGAGATTCTCAACTCGCGCACCACCAGCTCTTGCCAACGTGATGTTATTGTGCCCGTCATGAATGGAAAAGAGTGCCGCTTCAATGTGTTTCAGATTCCGAGCTGTGCACTTTCATTGCGCAACTCATTTCATCCGATGGCCACGGAACTTCCATGTCTTCCTGATGTGCAGGTACCAGCTGTCTTCCTTCTGGGTCCTCTCGTGTGTTCCGCCCATCACCCACAGTGTGCCTTGCGTGCGGGGGGGGGGTAGGAGCAAGGACGCTACTAGGGGCTCCTGGCCTTACTACTAGGAGCAAGGGCCTTACTACTAGTAACAAGAATCTAGTAGACACAATAAGTATTAGAATTAATCCAAAGCAGACCTCGACGCAGACTTCGACGCCCGAGGTGCTGAACACCTTGAAGAGAGTGGTGATCATTGTGGCTTCCCACTCAGCTGGTTCTCATTTGCAATGCTGGTGACCTCTTAGCATTTTTCCTTGCAGCTCTTGGAGGTCGTTCAAGGTCCGAGGTTGAAAACAAAACAAACCCATACACCCAGGCTCCAGGTCTAAGGTTTGATTTTTTTGTGTCCCCTCTCCCTGTGCAAACGGACAAAACCTGTCCACAATCTGGCATTCTTTCCTCTTGAAGGTAGGCTGCTAGGCAGCCTACCTTCCTTGTTCTTTCTCTTTAATTACTCGTAGGATGGTATTTGCTTGTGTGCCCTTAGGTATCCATCATCGTTTTCCGCACACCCGTCACTCCTCAGAGTGCAGCAGGCTGGAGATTGAAAGAACACACGCCAACTTTGCAGACTATGATCACGCCACGTTGCATCAGTCATTTTGCTTGAACGCTCACAGGTACAGCGATCGCCATCGGCGGTGTGCTACTGTACTCCCTCACCAAGGCTGTCTTGACCCAACTGAGTCTTCCTTCAAAACGAGACTACGCCTGAACCTCTAGGAGCAATGTTCGCTACTAGGAGCAAAGGGCATGTCTACTAGGAGCAAGGATGCTACTAGGGGCTCCTGGTCTTACTACTAGGAGCGGAGCAATTTTTTGCTGCAGAAGACGTGAAGCCTGGCAGGCGCATTATGCGAAGAAGGGGAAGCTTAGAACTTAGATGGCCGACCTGGTCGACCCGAGAAGCACGAGATCAGGTCCTTGTTATGTTCGTAGCTTCTTGCTCCTAGTAGCGATGCCAGGAGCCGCTAGTAGCTTCTTGTTACTATAGTAGTACGGCCAGGATCTACTACTAGCGTCCTTGCTACTAGTAATGCCCTTTGTTACGTTCGTAGCGTCATGTAGCGTCCTTTGCTCCTTAGACATCAGACCTGGTCGACTCGAGAAGCCGCACCTTCGATTGAGGTGACGATTTGGCCAGATCTGCAAAGCCCTTGGAGACCCACTTTCGATCGACGAATCAGATTGGTATAGCCACTTTTGAGGAAAAAATTGGAATCAGATTCGATATGCTTCCTCACGTTACGAAGTTGGACGGGCTCCGTGGCTCTGCAAGCGCTTTTTGGCGCGCCCTTCGACGGGCGTGCTCCGCTCCTGCTGAGCAGGGCGCCGGGCGGCGAGCGGCCCAGTCGGGTGCAGTGCCTGACCAGCCCACCGGACCCACCGGAGAATCGAATAGAGCTTCCCCGGTGTGGGTGTTGGCAGGGCACGAAAGTGATGATCCTGAGTTTTGACCAGATTCTCTTGGTTTCTGATTGTTTACGATCAAACCTCCTGAAATCTTGCATCTTTGGAGAATGTGAATCAGGATGAATCAGGTAACAGGCCCTCCAGCACTGACCGTTTGCACTTGTCGTGCCCACATAGGACCTGTATACGTTCTGTTAAAAAAGGCAGAACATGAGCACCATCCACTCACGGGCACTTGCGACACGAAACCTCCAAATTTGCGATACGCGAATTCTCCGACTGGACCATATTGGACCCTCAGACGTCGTCTTCTTGCTACTGGTAGCAGCAATACAAGGAAGAGACCTGCTGCAGTGGATCCTCTCGGTGTATCATCTAAAGTACGCATCTATGCATTGGCGCATCCGCAGCCAATGCAGGATTAGACATCCACACTTTGTCCACACTTCAAGCATTGGACATATTTGTGACTCCAAGCGAAAATGAGAGCAAGCCGGAGATCGAATAGATGTCGTGATTTTCCAAGTATAGCTTGAGAGCCTCGGCAAGTGATATGGCGCCATGTGGCGCAAAGGCTTCAAGGATTACAAAGAGGCCTTTGGGTTGACCCAAGCAGCGTGTGGATATGAGGATGTTCCTGTACAGGTTTCTTTGGCCCTGTGTACCACTAGCACTTGTCAGAAGCTAAATGAGCTTTGCGCTTTCAAGACAGATGACTTGCTTTCGAAAGCTAAGGGGTCACTCTGCTTTGCCAGTTGGTCGCATACAAGGCGCAGCTTTTGGATTCCGCTGCGTTTGGGAATTGGATCGATGGAACGTATGGTGTGAATTGAGTCGCTGTGCACAGGCAAACGGGCATCTCCAGAACCTCAAGCGGGAAACCTAGATTGAAACCTATGGATAAAGAATCGTTTCTAGCGTACTGGGGTTTGTTTCGCATTGGTTTGGGGTTTGGTACAGGAGAAGCTGCCAGGAGATATCAACTCCTGCCAACGTAAGGCACTCAGTCTTCGGTTACTCTCACAGAGACAGAGAGGGAGTGGAATTTTTGTGGAGTTTTTGTGTTTGATTCGACGCTAGATCAACCAGACGTTTGCATTCGAAGGGTGGAAGCAAAGCTGAGGGAAAAGTTGGAGAAGGAGCGGGCATGGCTCACTCAGCCTGTTCAGCGAGAAGGCCTGACCCAATGGTGCCAACCAATCGTTTCATCTCTATCCTGGTGGTTTCATCTCTATTTTTGCATCAGCAGACTGCTCAGATAGAATTGCTTGCAACCCGATTAATATCTAAGAAATTCTAAGAATAGAGTCTACAGGAACAACGAGCAATCCCAAAGTTGTCAAGAGCACAGACATTTGCGTGGACGGCTGCCCAGTTGCTCCCAGCGTCTTCAACCCGCTGCTGGATGAGCTGAATGGTATTCCGCGCCTGGACCAGGCGCGACCAAATTCAACTTGGAGAGGATAGAAGAAAGAACGGAAGGAAACAAGATAGGTCTAAAGGTACCCCGTACTGCAAACAAAGGAACGTTTCAGAAGAAGGAAACGGTCCCTTTTTGTGCACTACATCAAAGTGAATGTTTTTGTGGACCTTACGTGTACCTATGTGACATGCAAAACCAGGTTAGGCCGTGCCATTGACGAAGATGTGCATGCAAGCAATTCTTTTTTCTTATGTAAAGCTAATGTAAAGCTACAGTGTCAAACACAATGTCAAACGTGCCTTGTTCCAATTTGTGGCCATCTTCTCTTCCCATGCCCACGTCTGGAGTGATGCCGCGATGCACCCATAAATTTGTGACTTGTGGAGGTACGCATTGAACATCTTGTCAGTGCAGCCGATTTGGTGCTGGAACAATTTCAGGTAGACCTCACAAGGTGCGTCTCGTCGTGCGTCTCGTTTTAATGTTTGAAGCCTTTGGTCTTGTTTTGTGCGCCTTCATGGACTTATATTGCACATTTGGTTGAGTTTCTATTGGAGTCTTGGCACGCTGTACAGTGTAGCTGTCTCCATGAAGAGTAGGGTATTCACATGTTTCACCAGACCACTCCATTTGAACTGATCCTTTGTGCAAGAGTGTAAGTCGTAAGTCTCAGCACTTGACAGGATCCAAGAGAGCCTCTACAAAAAGACACTACAGCGTCAGAGCTTGTCATTCGAGGAGCTCCGGCAGCGAGGATCACGGCGACCTCCGGAGGGAGGATCTCTTCCGAACCTGAGCTCCGGAATGCCTTGCCTGTTGCTACTAGCAAGAAGGGAAGAATGTGGCCCTTCCATGCCTTACACGAACTCTACACAGCTCTGGAATGCTTTGCAAGAGCAGGTTTACTTTCGTTTTTTTGCATTCACTTACCTACGTTACGACTCGACAAGTATGGCCAGTTGCGTTTCGAACACCCAGTGTGGGTCTTCCTACCACTCAGATGCTTCCAAATGGTTCCGACGCGAGAGGAAGTGGTGGGGCCTTTGGAAGTTCTACTTGATCGACGGGAGCTGAGATCGCTATGAGAGTTGACACAAAGAGGGCAAATCAAACACGCTAGTACGTTGGAGGCCATCGCTCTTAGGTTGGAGGCCATCGCTAGTAGGGGCAAATCAAAGAACGACTGATCAAAGCGCAAATGACTTTTGCTTAGGCCTCGAAAAGGTATGGGGCTCCATAAGCTTTTTGCGAAGGGCATGGCGAATCTCTCCAAAGGCAGGCAGTGCTTTTGCCAAAGCATAGAATTCTCACGATGAATATGCTCTTCAAACTCTGTCTAACGTTTGATTCGATGGCAGATTGATGAGATCTACCATGGCATTTCGTACAGAATCTCCACAGCGACATCCATTCTGGCACAATCGGAGATTCTGCATCAGGTGCCAAAGCAGATCAGAATTTGCTCAGATCCATTCAAAGTTTGCTTCCTCTCCTGGATGTTGCTAGCTTTTCTGGTACTAGTCCTTTTTGCTTTGATTTCTTCAGGTAGCGAATCCTTTGGCTATTCCTAGATCCCTGAACTTATAACATTGATCCTATATTGATCTGTTTGGCAGGCACTCTGGGAGCTCAATCAACAAGATTTGAGCCACGACCTCATGTGCTGCTACTGCAGGCACTACTTTGCACTTTTTAAAACCTTCATCATATCTCCACTGAGGTGGAGTGCAACGACGCGTCGTGACGCAAGAAGCCTTGGAAATCTTCGTTTGTGAGTTTGTCTAGAAACACTAGAAACTCTAGAAGCTTGAAACATCCGACAGAGCTTCAGCAAAATCTATGCGGTCAAATCTGCACCCGCTATACTCCTACTCCTCCACACCTTTCTAGACTGTCCTTTAGATTGTAGGATGATTGTACCCTGGTGCAACCAAACCTGGTGAACACTAAGCTACGCTAATCCTTGTGCCACTTAGTGCCAGCTTGAAAGCACTCAGTTAGAACCCCTCGGCCAGATGGCGGTTTCCTAGGCGACTGGCTCGTGATGGGTTCATGATGGGTGCCTTGGATATGAACAAGTAGATGTTGAGCTGGTCTGAAACCGAAAGAACGTGAGGCAAAGCAGGGAAGATCAAGTAAAGCGAAGGGAAAAGAAGCGAGACATGCCAATACTTCAAGGAACCTGATAGCGATGGCCTCCAACGTAAAAGCGATGGCCTCCAACCTACTAGCTTCTTGTTCCTAGTCGTAATGCCAGGAGCTACTAGTAGCGTTCTTTCTACTAGTAGCGATGCCCTTGTTACTAGTAGCGATGGCCTCCAACCAACTTCCAACTTCCCAGGCCAAATCTTGTGACAAGAATCCACAAGAAGAATCGACACTGACACGGTGTTCTTTCGCAGGGATTGGCATTGAGGATGTCGAGACCCTGAAATCCATGGACGAAGGCCGAACAGAATTGAATGCTAAAGGCACTTCATCAAGTGCTTCGTCGATGTTTAATATTTCTTTTGAAAGCATTTGCCGGATGTTTCGGCGAGGTCAGAAGCAGTTGGTGCAGCTTGCAACAAGATTTGCAGAGAACGTGGCCAAAGATGAGGTGGGATCAGATAAGCACAGCATGTCCCGTCCCAACAGAAAAAATACAGTTTGGACTCGAAAAAACGTCCAAAGCTCTGAGTCCGTCTCACATCGTTTCCCGAGGCAGAAGCCCTTTTGCGTGTGAAATCTCAAGAAGAGATCAAAGGACTGCCGCAAAAGGCCAGCAGAGTGTCCAATTCCTGCTCTCCGCTTTGCAACACACCTTGCGTTGACTACATGTGACAACACGCGAAATGTGCACCAGTAATTACTTTCAATTCGTTGTGTTCCTAGCACTTCCTGGAGCAAGGTTCTTGATGCCACTGCCACGGATGAGGCAAGACACTTTTAGGGTGTTGGAAGACGGACCCGTAGAATCCATTGAGGCCTTGTTGGAAGCCGCGAACAGGCGGGAAGCCTTGAGCTCAGAAGAAGGTGCGTGTAGTGCATGTAGCTGCGAACAGCCCTTCCAGCCTTGCTTTCCGATGATTCGGTGAGCTTGACTCCGAAAAGCAGTGAAGATCCTGCAAGCTTCTATAGCTACTATAAAGCTTCTATAGCTACTATAGCTTCTTGAGGCCTTGCAGGCCTGCTTGGATGCTGAAAATCCGGAACTGCGACAGCATGCGTTCCTGGCATCCCGACGGTCCGGTATCCCACGGTGGAGTTGCAGTTTCCCAACATGAATGCTATTTGTGAAGCAAAGAATACGTTGAAACCAGATGTCGACAGATTTGCAGAACAATGTGATATGCTGGGTCCACCTCAGGCTTGGTTTTGAAGCTGGTCATGCGCCTAGTCCATCCACATCTCACTGTTCTTCTCACCACGAGCACTTCATCCGTGCCCGTTGTGCCCGTTGTGCCCGCTTGGTTCTAGGCAACCTCCCTGTGATCGCAGAGATGCTGCAGATTCGTCAGGCTAGATCGGGGCATCATGCAGTGCACGCGCCGTTTTTCATGTTTGTCAGAACCGGCACCGTCAACGAAGCACAGTGGAACGGAATGGAACGGCCCTGTTCGCTCTAAAGGCCTGGGCCAGCGCCCTCGGCTCGCAGCTGAGCTCTTTTATGTTTTGTTTCACAGTGATGGCCTCCAACCTAGTTGTCCTTGCTACTAGCAATGGCCTCCAAACTAGTAGCGATGGCCTGCACCATACTAGCTCTTGACACTTTGTTCCCTAAGCGACCTGAAGAACATTTGGAACGTAATCATCATTTTGTATGGAGTTGACTGGGCCTCAGGCTACAAGAGCTATGCGGACTTGGCCTTTGAATCTCGTTCTGGATCGAAAGCTGAGGCTCGGATTAGAATCCAAACTGAGATTTGTGGCATTGACAAGCACCTTCTGAAGATGTCTAAAACCACTTCCACTGTGGAGGTCGAGGTGTTGCTGGAGACCCTACGCAAAAGCAGCGAGGCTTTCACACGAAGACAGGGAGAACGAGACATGGAAGAAAGAACGGATTCTGCCGAGAGGACCTCCATGAACTCAGACTGATGATGTGATATGCATTTGTCTCTCAACTGTATAAACTGACGAAACATGATGCTTTTCAAACTAATCCGTGCGGTTCATCGCTCTGGGAGAATCCTCTTTGGGCTTCATAGCGCACTCCTTGACTGCTATGATGCAGTGAACTGGAGAAGTGGACTTGAGGCAGCTGCCGTAGAAGAGTTGAAGGACCTGACAGTTGGGTTTCACGCGCAAGACAAGGACCAAATCTCTAATTGATTCAGCTCCGGGACCGATCAAGCAGAGTCAAGTTGGAGAAGAGCCCGCGTAGTGACCGAAGACATCCGAAGACCTGTCCTGGTAGTCCGTTGGGAAGTGCTGAGACCACAAGTTCGAGACTCATCTCTTGACGAGTCGCGAGTCGAGGAGTTGAAAGCGGCTGGCGACCTTCGGACTTCGGACCGGAAATCGGTGTTTGCAAGAGCTCTTCGCATGGGAGTGGTTTTAAGAGCTCGTCAGCTCGTCGTTTTTTAGCAAACTCAAATAAAATAGAAGCTGGACTTGAGCCCGTACCTCAACTGTTCTTCTCTTCTTTCTGCCATAAGTCCTTGTGTGTGTGTTTTTTGTTTCGCAGGATTTGCACTACTTCAAATCGAAGAGAAAGAATGAGCTAGTGCAGGACGGTCTTGCTTCGGGTGTATCCTGCAGACTGCAAATCACCCTAGAATCTTCCTGCCCAGGACTTGGACCTGAAACCCTTCCTTCCACTCTCTGGAGTGCCAGCACCACAGAAAGAAATGCTTCAAGACATTAATTACTCACTCATCCGTAGCACCTCAATCATGTAGCACCTCGTTCCGGTGACCGGAAAAAACCAGCTGCTGGCGACCGGAATCCAGCTTGGCCGGTGACGCCAATCTCAGGGTACGTGGACTCTTCCGTCTGATTGAGAGTCTTTTTGCAGCGACTTGGCTCATACAGCGTTGCGCCCATACTGTTCTGTAGTTGGCCCATGTTGGCCCGTTTGTTCGATGTTTTTGGAGATGGCTAAAATATGTCTTGTTTCTACTAGCTTATTGTTACTACTAGTAAGGCACTTGTTACTAGAAGCGATGCACTTGTTACTAGTAGCTTATTGTTACTAGTGGCACTACTAGTGGCTAAAAGATGCTAAAATACTGGCAGTTCTTTCCCAGGTGAAGCTGGAGCCAGCGACGGCTCGAAAGGAAGTGCCGCTGTGGCACAGGACGAGAGCCGTCAGAACTGACACATCCGTGTTCACGTCGGAACGGCTGGCACAAGCAGATACGAGCAGCCCGTCTGTGAGGAGCATCCGCTTTTACCGCCTGGTGGATACCAAGTCGCCGCCTGGCATATGCGCAACAGTGGCGTTTGTCCTTGTTTTTTTGCTGCCCTTATGGCTTCATGTGTTGGCTACTCTTCATGAAGAAACACTACACATCGGCATGAAACTGAAGAAACACTGAGGGGACACCCCATTGGTGGGCTGTACTTAGACTTGTCCGCAACCTAAGTCCGAAGCCACCACGCTGCAGTGCAGTCTGACAGATTCGAGGTTTCAGCATGGCAAGAAGCTGAGCTCTGGCTTTTGGGCCGTTTGGAACCCAGGTCCAAGTCTGACATTGCTGAACACCGGCCGACTGATTTGACTGGCAGATTTCAGCATGTTGGGCAATGTTCTTTTCTTTTCATCTCATGATTTCGAAGAGTTGCATTGTACAAGCTGGCTTTACATGGCTCTATTTGCTGCTGTCGGCCCAAAGTTAGTCGCTTGCAAAACTAGGCAGGCCTCTCGTTTGCTTGTTGCTTGGCGTCGACTTAGGCATGCTTGTTTCTTGGCATGTTCAAGTGCAAATGAGAATGAGGGCGTCTGGTGTTTCCCTTTCGCCGAGGTTCATCTCTGTGACTTCATATGGCAGCGCGGTATTGTTGACTACAGCACTCTGGCAAGCAACGGCAACATGACAGCTCCATGCAGTCTTAGGGAGAAATACATATTTACAGACACGAGCAACCTACGGGTGTGGCGGAGGATTGAAACAAATTGAGAAATGCACCAGAGAAAGTTGCGAGAAAGAAAGTCAGTCCTAAGCACAAAAGTAGGAGGGAGCTGGTTTTGAGAAGCGTTGATTTTTCTCTAAGGCCACGACATGCCCGAACTTTCATTGCGAATGCTGCACCGAACTTTGGTGCTTCTGTTCGTTCTCTCGGATGCGACCGAGACTGAGAAACTCAGCCCGTTGGCGAAGAACCTCATAGCAACTCTCAGCTCTTCTGGGATTCCGGCACTCGACTCAGATCGAAGTGTTTCTCTTTTTGGGAGAAGGACAGAGAGATCATTCTTGTAATCAAAATGATCTAAAGAAAAACAAGATACATTGCAAAAACCAAGAAAGAAAGAAAGAAACAAACGTGCCCTTGTTCACAGCGAGTGGTCCACCTCAAAAACCATGAATTGGCGCCCTCTCTTTTCTCCGACAGTGGCAGCTGCTTTGAGGTCATGAGAAGAGATGTTGGCCATGAGAAGCGACATGAAGATCCCGAGATTTGGCCGAAAAAGGCATATCCGAGGCATTTGACAGCAAAAGAGCCACTTGGACAGAGTTGATTTGCTGTCTTTTGCTTTTAAAATAGCCTCACTCATCGCAATCTGATTCAAAACCAGAAAGAACGATGATGTATGTTTCTTGACCTTTTTTGACCCTTCTGGAGCAATTTGCAAAAGGCACGTGGTAAGCAACTCTCGGATGATGATCAGCGTTGGCAGTATGGCTGATACCAAGTCTCACAAGTCCCCCGCGATGCCGGAGGAGCGGAGAATTGCGTTTTATGACATACTTCAGATGACCTAGCTACGAACAAAGAAGCTTCCTTGGGAATCGTTTCACCTGTGGTAACAAGAAGCTACTAGTAGGTCTTTGAAGCTACTAGAAGGAACCAAGAAAAAAACATTCAGAAATGAAATAAGATTAATAGCGACGGCCTCCACCCTAGTAGCGATGGCTTCCAACCTAATAGCGTTGGCCTCCAAAACTTTGCATGGCCCACTGTATGACTGTATGCTCCTTTTCAGTGTTTCCGTTTTCCTATCTTTCTTCTAAACAGCTTGATTTTTCAAGTCTTTTTTCCTTCAGAGAAGTGAACAGAAACTGCAACTTCAACAGATGATGACAGTGCTTTGTTTCACCAGGAAGAAACCGAGGATATGGAGACCTCTACGGTCTCGCATCTTGGCATCCTTTCAGACATTCTTTTCCGCCTGTCCCGGACAGACCTTTTCCGTCACTGTCACCGACATGAGAGCAATGACAGACATAGTTCGGGTAGATAAGCTAGCCCTTGAAGAGCTTGAGCCCTTGAAGTATTTTGAAGTCGCTATTTGGTAGTCGCATGTGAAGCCCAAACAGCGGTGAAGATGTCGCTTTTTCTGCACCAGTAACAAGAAGCTACTAGAGGCTCCTGGCCTTACTACTAGGAGCAAGGACGCTACTAGGGGCTCCTGGCCTTACTACTACTAACAAATCGCTTTGAGGTTATGGTATATACGTGTTTCTAGTAGGAACAAGTGCATCGCTTCTAGTAACAAGTGCCTTACTAGTAGTAACAAGAAGCTAGTAGGTTATTGTTTCTACTAGCTTCTTGTTACTACTAGTAAGGCACTTGTTACTAGGAGCGATGCACCTGTTACGAGGAGCGATGCACTTGTTTCTGCGCTACTAGGAACAAGAACGCTAGTTAGTAATTTGAATTTAGTTTTATCTTAATTCTGACTACTATATTGCTTCTTTGTTACTACTAGTAAGGCACCTGTTACTACTAGCGTGGCACCTGTTACTGTTTCTGCCGGTTTTTTTCCCACCGTCTCTTCAGGCCGGAAGAGTCAGAGTCCACCTCGGAGGCCCTTCACGCGCCGGTTTCTGCGTTGTCACAACGTGGTGACCGGTGACACGGCCAATTTGGGCGTGAATTTATGGGAATTTTAAATGACGAGACCATACGAAACCCCTAAGAATGGGTTTTGGATGGTTTTGGTCGATTTTCGTTCTCCCCGTTTTGATACACCCCGATGTTTAACTGTTTCCTAATGTGTCCCTTTTGTTATCTTTGGTTCTTCCTTGTGAGGAGGCCGAGGCCGGCGACAGCGAAGAGGACAAGCCAAAGACAGAAGAGAACAAACGAAAAGATATGAAGAGATAAATGATTTGTCTCGGCCAAACAAACTACCAAGAAGACAGGATAATTACACAGAGTTTTGCTTGTAGGTGTATTCATATAGATTTATGATGATTCATGTAGTCACTCTTTGAACAGCTGAGAGGGCTGAGAGGTTTTGCTTCAAAAAGGGTCCTCTTCAAGACATGATTCACCCTATATCATCACTTATATACCATCACTTAAGTTAACCAATGATATTATAGTAAAGCCAGTAAAACAGTAAAGCAGGACTTTTGCCCCCAAGATCTTTGCGACACGTCTCAGGAGGAAACAACCAGTTCTCCAGCAAGGAGACATGTCTTGTCATCAGATTCAATTAAGCTTATCTCAAAGATTGCAAGTATTTGGCAACCACTTCTTGGACAACCTGTGTCTTCTTGAAGAGTTTTAAGTTTGGCAGGACCACGACCAAGACCACGACTACAAGCACGAGCACCACTGTAACTGCCACCACTACAACTGCGACTACCACAACAGTGACGACCACAGAGAAGCCAACGACAGCAGCCACCTCGACAACCACAGAGAAGGCAACAACTTTGAAAGCCACAACGAAAGCTACAACCGCTACAAGTGCTACTACCTTGACGACTGCGACCCACACGAGACCTTGCAATCAGGCCGTCAATGGTTGATGACTTCGCAGTTTGTCAGTGGATGCAGAAACGATGTGCATCTGAAGGTCACGACCAGCACTTCACCGAGTACTCGACACAGTCTTGAGTACTTGCAGGTGTGCCCGTGGATTCGATCGTTTTGATAGTTCGATAGACTCCTATCGAATCCGGGGCAACAGAACAAATGCTCATAGTGATTAAGTTTTTAGTTTTGTGTCACACAGAGTGTAGCTGCAACAGTTCTCAAGTGTTATTGGTTGCTTTCTGTGTGTCGGATGATATTTCTTCGAATAATGCTTTTAAGTGATCTGGCCAAGTGAAGTGATGGGATGAGTCAACTCAGGCCGTTGAGGCTGGTGAAGTAGCTGCATCTGCAGCGAAAGCGGAAGGCTTGCCACCGGCACAGCAAGCTGCACGAGCTGGCAAGGCCAAGACGAGGGTCAACATTTGAACAACTGAAAGCGCTGAAAGGAGCAGAACAACGCATTTGCACTGTCCGGTCAATGTTACCGTTTACCATTTTTGCGGTGTTGGCAAGTTTGGTTGAATTACTTACGATATCTTACGATGGTGTTTTCTGAATTTCAAGACACTTAAAGCTTCTTCGAAAGGGCTCCAGGAAAATTTGGCTGTAGGAATGGGACTATAGCTATAGGCTCCAGAACCATCACTCGGTGAGTCCTAAAAAGACTAAAATCGATCTTTCTTCACATTTCGATGAGGCGGCGGCGGAGGCAGCTGCGGCCTTTGGCTTGAAACCGCTGGAGATGCTCTTGGCCGCGGGGCAGGCGGCTGCAGCTGCTGCAAAGGCTGCAGAGCTTGCAGCGGTGGAACAGGCTGTTGGGGCCATCGGGACCATTGGCTTTCTGGGAGAAGACAAAGGACAAAATAGTGACAATAGAAATCAATAGTACACTATGTCATTTTTTAAACACAATATATGCATTTATGAAAGACACATGAAAAACTGTTTATTCGAAGTGCCAGTCAGTGTAAAAAAAATACCTTACGGGTGCACAACCGCTTACATGTTCAACAAACCACAAACGATGAGGAGCCCGTCCTCAGGCAGTCCCTGCACTTTTTTGGCCAATTTTGGATGTTCGAACGTCTCCCCAGTGAGGTACGAGCAGCTGTCCTAGCGACCGAAGTTGCTGCTCAGCAGGCCACAGAAGATGTCCGTGTTTTGGCTCTGGGGCGACGCTCCATGACACTCCCACTTCCCGCAACACTCGCAACATGCCCTTCAGGCTGGCGTTTCGCAAGAGAAGGAGGCCACGGCAGCTGCCAAGGCAGCCTTGGCGGCAGCAAAAGCAGCTGGTCTCAGCAGACAGGACAAGCTAAGACGGAATGGCAGATATGTGGAACATGTCGAAACATACAAAAACTATCAAAAACTGCTGAATATTCAACCAGCTCTTGCTTCGTGCAGATTGAAATCTAACTAGCGGAGGTTGTACTTAGCTATCACTTTAGGTTATTAGCCCTCCTTCAATATATCAATTCTAAGACTGACATTACCAGCAATCTGAAATGCAATCGTACAGCAACGCACAGGAGCAAGCCGTGGTCTCCGGTCAGGTTGTGGCTTCAGTTCGGCAGAGCTTGCGTGATGCACTGGCCAAGAAGATCCAGGAGCCTTTCCAAGAATCTATTTGTGCAGTTTTTTCTAAACATGCACATCCAATGAACAAATGTGATGCGTCATGCTGCATGATGCATCCAGTCTTTATATACTTCCGCTACTTCGTTTTTAACACTGCAACAGATCGAGAAAGTGGGATCGAGTTGGTGAGGAGATTCACACAGCGACTGCCACGAAAGCGCCCACTTCACACAAGCTTCTTGACCATGCTTGACCATTCTTGACCACCTTCACTGGGCCCTTAAAGTTTTAAGAACACATATTTTGTTGTTTGCCGAGTAAGGAGTAGTGCTAAGCCAAAGGCCGAAGGCCTTTAAAAAAGACGACAACCGAGGGAAGGTCCAAACAAAGACAGGTCTAACGAAAATAAAAAACACACACGAAATGGTCTCTACAGTCTAAAGGTCAAACGCAACCATGAAAAAAACATCAGTAAAAAGAAGAAACATATTTACAGAAAGAAGAGGAAGAGGAAGAGGAAGAGGAAGATGTGAAGAAAAGGAGGAGGTTGAAGTCGTGTTTTGTTGAATGGCTGGCTCAGGTCCAACAGCGAGGTCCATGAAGCAGTGGTTGCCGCCCATGAAGCGGCGCAGGCGGCTTCACAGGCGGCGGCACAGGCGACTGATGCCGTGAAATCTGCAGAGAGTGCGACTTGGTGAATCAGAGAACCAAAATGAATTGAACAGAAAGGCAACCAGGTAGTAGCCAGAATCAATCGATCAATGGTGTTCTGGCACTTTACCCATTTTACTTGCTACCTTTAATATGTTTACACTCCCGATGGCTCTGGCTTGAAAGGGATACATAATTGCACAATGTTGCGCATTAGATCCAACGTTTCCATCGACCAATTCTGCTCCGACATCCGAATTGCTGGGCGCACCAGCCGTGCCGGTCGCATGCGCAATAAGGTGAATAAGGCGAATGGTTCAGACGTCCCATTGGAAGAAACCAAAGCACAGACTGATGGAGGAGGAGAAGAAGAAGTGTGCGTTTGAAGTTTATCTTTGCAGGTTGAGCGAGTGAATCGTTTTGCTTTGCAATGCGGCCAGCTGAATCAAACTCAATCAGATAGCATCGCTCAAGGAGCTGAGATCCAAGATATGCTGAAAAAGCTCTCAGAGCAAGTGGCAGAGACGCCTGGCTGCTACAAAGCCGTTTCCCTTCTTGCAGACATGTGTCATGTTCGTTCAATACATGGTGACCTTTTCTATGTTTCTTGCGCGACGTGCAAGGACGCTGGCCAGGTTGGAGAAAGTGGAAGGTGTCGAGAGAAACTTGGAACAAAAACAGGGCGAACACAATTTTTTTTCTAATACCAATGGCCTCCAACCTAACAGCAATGGCCTCCAGCCCAATAGCGATGGCCTCAAATCTAATAGCAATGGCATCCAACCTAGAAGCGATCAGCTTGAACCTAAAAGCGATGGCCTCCAGCCTAGAAGCGTCGGCTTCAACCCAACAGCAAT